AGATGTGTATAAGAAAGGTACATAATACAGTGTTTAAATAAGGATGGAACATGATGGAACATCGTAGGCTACCCTGTAGCCTACGATGTACCTTTAATGTCCCTGTACACGACATCACACCTTTCATAACTGTTACGTGAACATAACAAAAAAGGTCTATAATGATGCATACAACTACTATAACTTTAAACGTTTTTTTATTTTTATGCTTACATGTAACAACACTCCACACAACCTCCACTCAACGACAGCACTTAAACATTGCCAGCTAATTGTCAAGTGGGCTATTGCATCATTGATGCTCTGGTTTTTTTTTTCCTTTTGGCTAATAATTGGGGATATCTAATAAAAATATTCAAATTTTTGAATATTTTTATAATCTATTTTTAAACATGATTTTTAAAAATTGGGGATATCTGATTTGAATATATTTATAATCTATTTTTAACATGATTTTCATCGGACTTTCAATATTCATTCATAATAATCATTTTGAATATTTCATAAGAACATAAAATATTTATTAATAACATTTATTGTGAATATCTAAGTTTTTCTTTACTTTTGGCCCCCATCACTATGTGCAATATTGTAATTTCCATCTGGATAAGTAATCTGGAGGTCGTGTGTTCGATTACCAAACGAACCATTTTTAAAAATTTTTCCATTGGCAAGTAATTGGGGATATCCAATTTGAATATATCCCTGATGATGACATAATTAATGTCGAAATATTGAATCCCGACACGATGGCGTGCATTTCGATACTTGGAGTATGTATTATACTATCTTATCTGAGGTTAATCGGTGGACCTTTCGATTTTTTTTTTCCAATGAATTTGTGATAAATCGTTATCACGCATGTTATATGTTATATGCGTGACAAATGTGATTCTGCAAAATGCGTGTATCATCCAAAATCGCTTTGAAATGCGGGACCGTCCTGCACTTAACGTAGAATTTTATAGGGCCTATCTGAATTTGTAAAATACATGTGCAATAAGGTTACAGTTTAACTACCGAACGTTTTACATATTTGTGTTCGCGGCTAGATTGCATGACATTATGATTCTCCACAGTCGTGAATATTCTGTGAAATCTGAATCCATGCCTACATGAAATTGATAGAAAGCTTGAAAAAAAGTTTAATAATTTTTTTAGCCAAGTCATAAATTCGGAATTATAGCAGAGACGAAGTTAATGATAATGTATGAATACAGAACACAAGCGTACACAAAAATTAGGATTTCTAGATGGCCGGAAAAGGCTGGGATGGCTAGGCCTATTTTATTTACTTATTTATTTATTTATTTTTTGGTCCGACTGCCCGTCGAGCTTTGGCCGATGGCGGGGCCTGACCAGACAGATGAGTGGCGGCTTAAGCCGTCCCCCACCAACGTTGGCGCCGCCACTGGTTTTACCTAAAAATATCTAGTCGTCTATGTTATGTTACTAAAGGTGGCGTACAAAGAGCGTGTCTGCTTCAATCTGAGTTACCATGGGAACTCATGGTGGGAAAGTTTCGTTCCAATTTTTAATAGCAATTAGTTCCAAGTTTGTATTATATTTTTGTCTATTGTATCTTTTGCTTAAAGAGCAAAAAAAAAAAAAAAAAAATTGTAAAAATATAATTAATTCGTTGATATATAACTTTTATAATTAAAAATATAGTATCGGTAAGGTTTTAAAAATATGAGACTGCAATTTCCCGGCACCGTGAGGTCCTATTAGAAGTCCCAGTAAAAAATTAGTGGGAAAAAATAAAGAAAAATTTAACCTTAGTCTTTTTCTGAATCAGTATATCATATAGTGTCTCAGAAAAAAATGATCCCCATTCCGAAGGCTTCGGCAATTTTTAAAACTTATTTTGGCCTAAATAATACCTTATAGATTAATTATTTAAACATTACTGTACATTAATTGCCATTATCACTACAACGCGAACGTCACAATGGAGCGGTCGGTTAAGCATGCGTTCTAAAGACATTAAGGACGTGGGTTCGAATCGCTTATAGGTATTCAATATTTTTTTCCCACTCATGAATTTTAAGAATTTACTTTTGTTTAATTTTATGTATCTTAATTTGTGACCCAAGCTCACAAAAAGGCTGTAAATAGGGTTTGTAATCAAACAAACCCTATTTATCGGCACTACGGCCTTCTGTGACATTTGTTATTATAATTTTCAAAATTAATTTTCCCAAGAACGATATATATACAAATAAAATTCATGCCGTGGACAATTAGTAATATATATATACTGTCTCTTATACACATCTAGATGTGTATAAGAGACAGTATATATATATACACATATATATGTGTGTGTGGGTGTCTGTGTATGTTCGGTATAGAACTCTTAAAAACAACAAAAAATGCTGGAAATATATCGAAAGTGAATACAATGTGGGAAATATATTAAACTGTATAAATATACAAGCCTTTGAAAATATTAACGGCATTCAAACACCACTTTATACTGCATTCTATTTTCATTAATTTGTTTATCAGATTGTTACCGGCCTATTGAAATTAAAGCCCATTTACGACCCCCCATATCGTTTAAAGTCATTATATACATAATATTAGGCCTTACACTTTATTAAATTAAAATGATTTTACATAATCTTAAAGAGTACATAGATTTACATTGTTGAATGTAGGTTGCAAAAACACACGCCTACGAAAAAATCTACAGGTTATCATTACACAAAGTCGTTGTTACTGTGTGTTGTTTATGTTTTCACTCAGATATTCCGGTTAAATACCATTGTATTATGGCCAAATTTTAAGACTTGCTATGTTGTAAAATAGTTCACAAAATTAATGAAAAGGACTCTATACAAACCGATTTTAGAGCCCAGTCTCAGGTCTGAAAATGTAGGCCTGAACAACAACACAACAATGGATGTCGCAATTAAATCTAACACCATGAAGGCATAACAGGCTTGTACAATTACAGTATGGCATACACGCTACTTACCTATAGTCAGGGTGAGATATAAAAATAAAACGTTGACCATTTTTCCAACAATCAGACTTACTAACTTTCTTTGACACTTATTTTGGACATTAGGACATTGCTTAAATCCACACTAGCCTATATCTTACACTTTTACACTGATTGTGCTGTAGGCCCTACCAGAGACGTACGTTTTCCTTACATTATGGTCTTGCTACAGCGCATAATAACAATTAATCATGCTTAACAAACGTTACGTAGCCATTACTAATTCGGAATCGCTCAGCTTGGTTGTACATGTGTCTATGTTGACATTGTGGATAAGTGGATCTAGGCAATATCTAGACATTAGTTCGACGTGAGCTGTGAACTGTGTTTTTAGCATTGTCTGAAAGTAATAACTTTTCAGACATTCACATGAACAATAAAACGAATAAAAATATACAGGGGGCGTATCTCCATACAGGTCTTTGAATAGGCCTATGTTGTTTAAAGTGGATGGGGAGGATGTAGGATTTGGTGGAGGGGGTGCGTGATAATCTGCACCACCTCAGCCCACCATGGCTGGGGCTAATGTGAGAATATGTTTAGAATATGGACCGCAAGGTGCCCTGAAATTGCATTACTACATTTTTAATGACAAAAATAATATATCAACAATAATGCAACAATTGTTGTTGTATTTGTATTGTTGATATCAATTACCGGTAAGATTTTTAAGCTATGAGTGTGATTTCCGGGCACATAGAGGTCCATCCCAGCAAATACAAAACGTTCTTATAACATTCGCGAAATCCTGTGGTTAGGTTTGTCACAAAATAAAGTTCACACATCGTTGTAAGAACGTTCAAACGTTGTGAGGTTGTGAAAATTAGGTTATAAGCACGTACATATGGTTCTACAAATTAACGTTTTTATCACCAACCTGTAACGTTATTATAACGTAATATTGTTAGCTGGGATATTATCAAAATTTTCTCACCTCAGTCCCAACTGTCAGGGACGAATAGGCCTACTACAGGGTGGGGGGGGTGCACGAGAGCCCGTTCCAATCATAGTCCAGCCGAAAAAATGAGTGAGAAAAAATTGAATTAAATGGAGGAAAGAGGAAAAAAGACTAGGCCTAGATAAAAAAGCTATACAATTATGCCCTGAACCAATTGGTTGATCTGGACACTACACCTCTAACAAATCCTCCTATCGGAACTGTGGGTTCAGCTTTAGAGTTTGCGACTCCCAGCATAGAAATAGACATAGGTCTTGTCTGAGGGAAGAGAAGCATCGGGAAAAGATAAATAATTCTGTCGAGGAACACTGCTCTGAAAAAGCATTTATACCGTCTAGAGTGCCATATTTGTGAGCATCTAGAGGTGCTTATTAAAAAAATTTGCTCACCTCAGCCCCACCCATGTTGGTAAAGTGCACATCCTGACAGAAAATGTCTGGGTCCGCCCCACCATGGTGGGCCTGTGTTGTGGATTCTCCCGCACCCCCTACCACCAAATCTTGCATCCGCCCCAGGGATTCTCCCATGCAGTGGCGGATTCAAGGGGAACCCAGTGGGCCCGTGCTCCCGTAAATATTTCAATATACTGTATATAGATTCGACGTAATCTTAATATTACTTCAGCACCAACCATCATGAGGATGTGGTGTTTATCTGTAAGTGTCTCACTCTAGGCTCCCTCTATTTTGAATTTCTGGATCCACCACGGACC